AAAAAAATCTCATGACATGGTAGTATAAATATATCATAGTATAAATGTATCATGTACCATTTCCCAAATTATATTTTTAGTACGTCGATATTTTTACACTAGGAAGAATGAGGAGTTTGGCTAAGCTACATAATAGGCAACCTAATTTGGTAATAAATTTACCATCCATGAGATTAGAACCTAAGACCTTTCACTTCTAAATGAAGAGGAATATCATCAGATCGTAGTACTGAGTGGCACAATTTCCCAAATTATTAACTTAACAAATACAACATGATTATTTAAAAGAAAAAAAACCAAAAGGAAAAGCAAAGCCTAACAAATTTATCATGATATAAAATTATATATTTTTTTAGAAAGATTTTTTTTTTCTAGATAATAATATATACTACTATATAAAACTGGAAGCCCATTTGAGATCATGGGCTTCACAAAAAATAATAAGACAAAAATACTCACTAAACAAAAAAGTTCAAAAGTAGCTCAAAATAATGTAGGGTATTTTCATCATATAAATAGTATTTTGCTATAATTAATTTTTTTGTATAGTTTTTTTATTTTTATTTTGTTTTTATAATTAATACTTCATAATGAGTTCGCAATAATGTGATTCAATCAATTGTTTACTAAATATTATTTTCTCTATTTTCAAAAACGTTCAAAATATCTTGAGAGGAGCATGGTGCCGATTATAAAAAAGCTATTTCACACGCGCATAATCATGTGATTCAATTAGTTGTCAAATAATTATTTTTTTTAACAAACGATATTATCTACAATAAAGGGGAGGTGGGTGAATTTAGCCTCACAATAGCTTAGTAATAATGTGATTCAAAAAATATTTATTCGCGCGTAGCACGCCGTGATTAAAAATATACGTGTGCATGAAGGCTAGTTATTGTTAAATTATTGGATGATATCCTTCATTCTTTACATTTGTGTAACATTAATTTTTTTCCTATTACAATTGATATTCTATATTAATCTATACTAAGAGTATAAAGCCCCGTTTGTTACACCGTCTTAAGAGGAATTGTCTTAACTGGGATTAGAATCCCACGGTTGGTAACGTAATTATTAGCGGTAAATCCGGACTCATTTTCACTACCAGCCTCACTAGAGTGAGATTTTTCAGTGTGACCGACATACAATGTGGTACAACACGTGTCATTATACAATTGGTGAGATATGTGTGTTAAAAAATTAATATGTAAAATTTTCCTACACTTACATAAAAACACGTGATATATTATCCGTATTTCCGTTACAATAAAAAATTTCTCCTCGCTAGGAGGGTACTAGTAATCCCGTGCTTAAGCACTGGATTGCTAAGAACCTTTCTAAACCTGCTTTCTCCTTCGTACATGAGCAGCAGCAGCATCCTTCTCCAGTCACCAAATCAAAAAATGGCTCTCGTGGATCTACATCGTCTCGCGACCCCAACCCCCTCTTTAACTTCAAATTGATTTCTCTCTCCCTTATGAGACCGACGAACCCACAACCCAGATTTCCCTCTATAACGAAACCGAATCAAACGAGCCTGAGCGACCTGCTGCCTCATCTCCATCACCCGACGCCTGCACTAAGCCCACTCTCCAAAATTTTCAACCATTTTCTTCCCCATGGTTTTGGGGTTGAAGATTTGCAGACAATCATGGAGTTTGTGAGAGGACGTGAAAAAGGAGAGAAAGATAGGAGAGTTTGAGTCTGACCAGAAAGACAAAATCTCATCTAGAGATTAAAGGAAAATGGCGGGGTTGATAAATTATTATATTTATTTATTTTTTTGGTTTTTTTTTAAGACAAAGAAAATTTTAAAATATATAAAAAGTAAATTTAAGTCCTAAAAATATTTGCCACTTAGTTGTACAGTCTGGTGGTATTCCTCTTCGCTTCGAAGTGAGAGATCTTAGAATCGAAACTCGTAAATAACGATTCGATACCAAATTAGGCTGTCCATTGTAGCTTAGCCAAACACCCCCTCCCTCTGGTGTAAAAATATCGATGTACTCGAAAAGAAAAAAAGTCCTAAAAATATTTTAGTTTGTAGTTTAGTCCGACACTACACCAAACACTTCAATATTCTTATGTTGCTTAGTTCATGCCAAACAAATTTAACTTAGTCTCTAAAACTAGTTCAGTCCGAGTTAGTTTTCCGTAACAAACGGGGCCTACGAGTACCTAAAGAGGTTTAAATCAGATAAATATGAGTTGAAAAAAAAGATCTTAACTATCAAGATAATCCATCATTTGCGATAACATGAAAACTTTATAAATGAGGAAATTCATTTAATCCACCTGCATATCATTTTCTTTTACACAAACGATCTTTTACACAAAATGATGTTTTACATAATTCATCTATAAAGAGGAGAACTCAAATTTTGGCGCAGAAATAAAGCTCATTGTTTTAGCAATATTAAGCTAACAACTCTTAAGGGGTTGTTTGATAATTATTTTATTTTTAGTTTTTAATTTTTAGTATTTGGTTTTTGGTTTTCAATTTTCAATTTTCTGAAAATTTGTTTGGTAGCAACTTTCAATTCTCAGTTCTTGAAAAAAAAATAAAAAATAAAAAGTGAAAATTCAAGAACAAATTTTGAAAACTCAAGAAAATAATTTTCAATTTTTTAAAAAGTGAAAAAAAAAACTAAAATTTGAAACAAAATAGTTATCAAATGACTCATAAGTCAGTATTTTTTCTTTTCGTTTAATTAGACGCTAAGTTCTAATGTGGCATAGACTTGATCTAAATTTTATGCACTCACTAATCATCAATTTCAATATTTAGTACTTCACGTAGTATAAATGCAAAAATTAAAACCTCGTACCTCATTTTACAGATAATCCAACCTTATGGTGTAAATGCATTTGGAAAAGGATCATCGTCGGATCCTTTTCCTGGGGATCTCGGGGATTCTATGATCATGACCGTTCATCGTATATCGTGCGATCAATTTTCGTTAGATACTATTTATATTTAATTTTAAATTTAAAATAATTTCTAACCGTACGATATACAATGAACGATCACGATCACGGGATCCCCGAGATCCCCAGGAAAAGGATCCTCACCGGATCCTTTTCCAATGCATTTAACCCAAACTTGATGCGACTTCCATTTTATTTCAAGTGGCAGTTTGTTCCAGATCCAAAAAATTCACCTGTTTTCAGATTGGGTCCAATTTTATTTGATTTTTTATTACACCTATTTTGCCCCTTGAAAATAAAAAATAGTTAAATTCTTTAATTTTGAATTTAAAAATTTTAAATTTTGAATTTTCAAATACCTTTATGTAACATCCCACATCGCCCAAGGGAGTGATCCTTACATGTATATTCTCATCTCTACCTAGCACGAGGCCTTTTGGGAGCTCACTGGCTTCGGGTTCCGTAGGAACTCCGAAGTTAAGCAAGAAGGGGGCTAAAGCAATCCCATGATGGGTGACCCACTGGGAAGTTGCTCGTGAGTTCCCAAAAACAAAACCGTGAGGGAATGGTAAGCCCAAAGCGGACAATATCGTGTTACGGTGGTGGAGCGGGCCCGGGAAGTGATCCGTCCCGGGCCGGGATGTGACTTTATCTACCCGTTTTCTAATTAAAAACATTTTAAAAACATATTACAACCAATCTTATAACTTTATCAAAAATAAAAAGAAACGTTGTTGAGGTAGATAAAAAAATTGTGATGTAGGTAGATAATATTAATTAATCTATGATATAAGTATACCATGAATAAAAACCTATCGTATAGATAGATAACACAAAATAATATGTGATATAGATAGACGAATGAGCAAAAAATATCGTATAGATAGATAACACACTTAATTTGAGATAGAAATTTTTTTGATATATAGGTAGATAAAATACAATTAATCTATAACACGGGTATAATAAATAAAATATACAAATAGATTCATTACATAAATATATAATACAGGTAGATAAACAAAGCAATGCATTCCCTATAAAGGTTGAAAAGAAAAATATGTATAATCCAAGTTCAAACTAAAAATTAGGAAGAAATTAATAGTGCATGCATTAAACTCATTTTTTCATGGCAATGTTCCCAATCAAAATGACGTAACTAGTGCTATATTGTGGGAGGACCTGGTGGGGATGACAAGTAGGAAGATGCAAGATTTGATGTACTTCAAAGCTCTATACCATTGAAAAAAAAATTAGAAATTGTGACCTTGTATTTCAAAAAGGAGGAAGAAATCATAAGAGCTTGAAAGAAGAAGACCAAACAAGAAGGAAGGGGATCGGAGAACACAACACAAATTGTATACGGGAGTTATGGAAGAAGAGTATACTTTAAAACTACTTCTACAAATAGGGGATTATTTGAAGATAAATAATCAATTATAATACTTTATACCTATAAAGCAAATATATCCTACTCACTCTATAGAAAGACAAAATTATTTTCTACGTCTACCTATGTATTAGGTATATAAACAAAATACATAAAGTGCATTTGCTATAACGTTTTTACTTTTAAAAAGAAAAGTTCATATAAACAAACAAAAAACTAAGAAAGAAATTAATGGTGAGAGCCTACAATTATATATACACATCAACACCCACGGTTATGGTTTAGAAGGCTTTCTTCCTAGCCCTGTGGTTAAATGTTCCAGCATGAACACACACGGTTATGGGTTCCAAGGAGGAAGAAGACCACCACGCATAAAAGATAATACTGTTTGTATGAGAGTTATGAGGAAGAAGAGATAATATTATTTTAAACTAATCCTATAATTATGAGATTACTTTAATGATAAATAATCAATTATAATTAATTTCATAATACAAGTAAGTCTAGAATTAATAGATAATGTTAATAGAGAGGTAATTTTAACAAAAAATATAAAAAAATTGACGTGGACAATGAGTCACTGGACTTAAACCAATAATTAAATAAAATTGAACTATATCTAATAATTGCTTACAAATTCAGACTTATTTCAAGTTTCTTTATTTTATTGACCAAAAAGGAATTATTTAGTAAATTCCTAATCAGAAAAGAGCAGGTTGGGGAGGTTTGGTCCTCGGGTGTCGAGGACTGAGATGGACTTGCCATCGAACCTCCATGGACGCTGAATAAAATACAAACCAAACAACCCAGAAGAGATCTTCTCTTCCTTGTTTCTTCAACCCCAAATTTTACCTTTTTTTCCCTCATTTCTTGTGAACTTTCTCTCTGCTGCTGAAAGGCTGTAGCCAGAGACTTTAAAGTAATAAAAAAAAAAGGCCAACAAGTTTGAAGGAATCATCCAACCAATTCTGCTTTCGACGTCCCAACTAGCAGCATTACCAGATTACTAAAGAACCCATCTGCTTCTTTGGCTCATATCCTTCAGAACCCTTCTACTTTTGCTGGGTTCCTGATTTTGTAGCTGAAGAAAGAGAAGGCTCGGGGGAGAAATATGAGAATTTGGAAGCTGGGTTTTGCTGGGTTTCTTGTTGCTGCCTTTGTGGTGGGGTTTGGTTCAGGGGAGCAGGCCCGCACTGAGAGAATTTCAGGTAGGAAACAGAAAGACTTTATTTTTTTCGATTTACATGATTTGGTTGTTCTTGGGTTTTTGCCGTTTTTCGATTTCGAATTTCATTTTGCTGCCTCTAACTTCTACCTGGGTTTTGATCACTTGAAGTTTCGGTTTTGATTGACGGTGTGTTCCTAGGTTTGGTATATCTTTTGGATCTAAATTTGATGTACAATTGGACATATGTAATGGTGGATGTTGATTTAGCTCTTATCATTGTTAACTTACACATTGTGCTAAATTTTGATTTGACAATAATTAGCCTAGTCTCGGAAACAAGTTTAGCGTTCAAATTTAGTTACCGAGGTTCTGGTTTGATCTGTTAATATTCAAAGTTACATACGCAGTAATGCTGGTTTGTTTAGCTGGGGTTGTAGCTCCCAGAAGGGCAGCAAAGATATTATATGCTGTTGTGACGATGTTTATGAACTCCAAGGACCAAGAATTTTGCGTTTTTTGCCCTTTTGGATTTGTTCTTTAGAAGTCTGTCGATTGTATGCAGATACAAATCTGCTGAGAAATACAAGTTTATGAGAACTTAAGTATGGTTTGTTTGCACCGAATGTAGGGAGTGCTGGTGATGTCTTGGATGATGACCCAGTGGGAAGGTTGAAGGTTTTCGTGTATGAGCTTCCAAGCAAATACAACAAGAAGATTCTGCAGAAGGATCCCAGATGCCTCAACCACATGTTTGCAGCTGAGATATTTATGCATCGGTTTCTCCTGTCTAGCCCTGTCCGAACCCTTAATCCTGAAGAAGCAGATTGGTTTTATACTCCTGTTTACACCACTTGTGACCTGACACCCAATGGCCTTCCATTGCCTTTCAAGTCACCACGGATGATGAGAAGTGCAATACAACTTATTTCTTCGAATTGGCCTTATTGGAACCGGACAGAAGGGGCTGATCACTTTTTCGTAGTGCCTCATGACTTTGGAGCATGTTTTCATTATCAGGTTAGATTTAGAAGCTTGGTTTGCGTCTTAGCTCTCTCATGGTTTTCTGATGGTCCGAATACATATTTGAACCAATTGGAATATGTTAACTTGTTTCAATATGCCTGTACATTTATTTGTTGTATTTGAGCTGTCAATTATCTGAATTTGTTGTGTAACTATTGCAGGAAGAGAAGGCTATTGAAAGAGGAATTCTTCCCATGCTCGAACGTGCAACTTTGGTTCAGACTTTTGGGCAAAAGAATCATGTTTGCTTGAAAGAGGGCTCAATTACAGTTCCTCCTTATGCTCCTCCACAGAAGATGCAAACCCACCTAATTCCTGAGAAAACTCCTCGGTCCATCTTTGTTTACTTCCGAGGATTATTTTATGATGTGGGAAATGACCCCGAAGGTGGTTATTATGCAAGGTAATTCTTCCATAACCTATATGTAAGTGTTAACAATAATGGTGTCTATGAGGTCAGAAAACATGACGGCATTTAATTTTCTAAACTAGATATTAACTTGTTATAGCTGTTGAAAAAAAGAAATGAGAGTTTGGGTTCTTTGGTTTGCTAGATAACACTAATATGAAAATCGGTCAGGGCAGGAGATGGTCTAACTTTTTGTACTGTACAGAGGTGCACGAGCAGCAGTGTGGGAGAACTTCAAAGACAATCCGCTTTTTGACATCTCTACCGAGCACCCCACCACATACTATGAGGACATGCAACGAGCAGTCTTTTGTTTGTGCCCTCTCGGCTGGGCTCCTTGGAGTCCAAGATTGGTCGAAGCAGTGATTTTTGGCTGCATTCCTGTTATCATAGCAGACGACATTGTTCTACCCTTTGCCGATGCCATCCCTTGGGAAGAGATTGGCGTGTTTGTAGATGAGAAAGACGTCCCCAACTTGGACACCATACTCACTTCAATCCCACCTGAACTGGTATTGAGGAAGCAGAGATTGCTCGCCAACCCTTCAATGAAACAAGCAATGTTATTCCCACAACCTGCCGAAGCAGGGGATGCTTTCCATCAAGTTCTGAATGGACTCGCGCGCAAGTTGCCACACGGCCCTGATGTTTTCTTGAAGCCAGGTGAGAAGATCCTGAACTGGACAGCAGGGCCCGTGGGCGACCTGAAGCCTTGGTAGCTGCTATGACCTTTGACTCCTCTTCAGCCAAGCCTCCAAACTTTACAGTAGTAATTTTGTTGTAGTTGAGATACCGATTTTCATGACACTGTAAAAATTCGGATTCCGTGAAAATGTATCAAGATTATATGTTTTTCTTTTTGTAGTTTGACTTGGATTGTTACAATTCCATTGAAAGCCATGATGGTGATTATTCCATCGTTAAGCTTCAGGTAACTTCTGAATCCGAAACCAGACATCTCTGAATCACCATGTTGAATGGTTATTTTTTGGAAGGCAGATTCTCTGCCCTCCCACTTTCCGTGCCCTCTGCTTGTGTGATCACGGTTAAGCCACGTTAACATTTTATATTAGTATTCTTTTTTATCTTAGTATCTCTATAAAAAAAACAATATAAAATGTTGACGTGGCTTAACCGTGACCACACAAAACAAGAGGGCACCGGAGGACACGGGAAGTGGGAGGGCAGAGAATCTGCCTCCTATTTTTTGGGGGGTAAAACGGTAATTTACTATTGTGGGCAAGAAGATGTTAGGTTTATTTTGGAATGTGAATTGGAATTATTCGGATTAACGATTGAATTATGAATTCTCTCAATTCGTAATTTTTTTGATTTAGGACTTCTCAATAAAGGGAGTTGCCTAAGCACTCGGTTAAGATTCATTTCGGAATGGCTAAAAATATCTTTTTACAACCAAAAGAGTGACTATATTTTGCAGAAAAAATTTCGACGTGCCTTTTGAATCAAGAAACATTTTCTAATATTTTTTTACAAAGTACTTCCAATTACTTTTTCAAAAGGCACCGAGTGCGTTCTGGGAAATATTTTCAAAATTTTAGTAAATTTTTCAAATTATTTATAATAAAAACACAGAGTTCAGCTAAGCCACACGATAAACAGCTTAATTTGGTATCAGATTCGTCATCCACGAGATTTGAGTTCAAATCTCGTGGATGGTGAATCTAATACCAAATTAAACTGTCCATTGTGATTTAACCGACTCAAATCTCGTGGATGGTGAATCTAATACCAAATTAAACTGTCCATTGTGATTTAACCGGATTCTTTCTTCTTTTAATGTAAAAATATCGATATAATAAAAAAGCACTTAAGAACTGCCGATAATCAAACGGATGTAAGAAAAAAATAAAATACAAGTGTCGAGAGGGTGGTGGGTGTGAATGGGTGGGTGTGAGTGATTGGTGTGTGGCGATTTCGAAAGCCACGCGACACCCAATGAGACTCGCACAATTCCACTTCACCTTTTTTGTTCCCACCACACTTTCTTATCCTCTTCATATCTTCCTGTCACTCCAACTCTACTTTTTCACTCACTTCCCTACTATCCTACACCATGGCCCTGCAACTGCAGGCACCCACCACAAGAAGCCACCTAGCGCCACCGTCTCCGTTGGCAGCTCCGAAGGGCAATGCCGGCCTCCGACAACCGCCCGATCGTTTCGCTCTAAAATCATCCTTCTTCTCTTCGTCACACCACCTCTTATTGCTTTCCCCCAAGCAGAGGCCTCTTGCTTCTTCCGCTGCACCCAAGTTTTCCATGCGCGTTGCCTCCAAAGGAGCATATATTTGTCGTGATTGCGGGTACCACATATTACACCTTTTATTTCTAACAAGGCGATATTCTAACCATTCTAATCTATGGGAGCGGGATTCGAATTTGGGTTTTTCTTTGTTGTTCTTTAATCTTGATGGCCATGGTGATGCTGCTGCAGGTACATATACAACGACAGAACTCCCTTTGAGAAGTTACCTGACAAGTATTTCTGCCCTGGTGAAAATTACTCCGTTTTTTACAGATGACATGCATTTCACTCTCAAATTACAAAGCTCTTTATATGCAGTACAAATGCGGTGTAGGTTTTAATTTAACCCGTGCAAGTAATCTGTGGTTTGCAGTTTGTGGTGCTCCGAAACGGAGGTTTAGACCATACCAGCCTCCGGTGACCAAGGACGCCAACAGCATAGACGTCCGAAAGCAGCGAAAAGCGCAGCTGCAGAGAGAAGAAGCAATCGGGAAGGCGCTGCCTATTGCTGTCGCCGTCGGAGCTGTGGCGCTTGTTGGATTGTACTTCTACATCAATGTCGGCTTTCAGGGATAGAAAGTGTTACTGTAACCTCAAATTAGTGAACATTCGTAGAATGCTCGTATCAGGGAGCCTTTTTCTGAATCTTTCTGTTCAATTTACTTGCATCACACCTGCAATTCAATGCACAATAAGAATAAAGAGATACCACTTGAAAGTTTTGGAAACGCAACATGCCCCGTCTACAATGGGAGAGAATTCCTGTTCCCCTCGGGATGGCATTGTGTCAATAGTCTGGGACACCACAATGGCATCCCATCCCGGGGGGTGTAGGTAAGTCCATCCTCTTTCCAGAAAACAAGGTGAATTTTGCATGAGCTAGGCCGCGTTTCCATACACCAGCAGAGTGGCAGATGAACAAATTTTGCTTGTAACATATAGTAAGGTACTCGGAAACACAAGAAGTGAGAGATGATAACTGATGTGAAATACCAATTAAGAGAGCGGAGTAACAAAAAATATGAACATTTACATGGATGGTTTAAGTAATAGACGATTATTCTTGCAACACAAATGAACCCTCTATTCTTTTCTCCATAGACTGCTGGATAGGAAAATTTAAAGAAGAAAACATGTCATTGGTACTAGAGGCCGGCACAGGCTTGAATTCGTACGGACCTTCCTTTGGACCCCAAACCTGTAACAATACAAAGCACTTTCAATTTTTCCTGTGAGCACTACCACATTACAGCATCCAGTAAGGGAATTAAAGAGTGTCCGACTAAGAGAAGGGAAACCGACCTGATTTCCATCAGCATCAAATCCCCGATCCCAGGCTTGTATCTCATTATTTTTATGAATTGCAAGTTCCGATGTACAGTACGCTGCTCCATTCTGCAACAAACGGGGAAAAACGATATATCATTGAGTAACAGTCATTTGATTCATTGCAGTTTCAACTTTCAAGCAACCAACTGTTATCCATGGCCCCAGAACAAGGTCTTAACAAAAGGAAAAAAGGATCAAGATCAAAAGAATTACCCATGAATTTGGAAAGCTGTCAGGTGGAGTTGAACCTTCATATAAGCAGCGTTTCCCACGCTCACAACGTTTCAGATGTATTGTTGTCAAATGCTCTGCAATGTCCTGCAGACAGAGATAAGTATGAATAAAAACTTTGAAAGCATATCTATAAATGTTTTCGAATGGTTAAATATCAATCTAATTCCCGGATGAAGTAGCAACTCCAGAGCATTTTTTAAGTGCTTACTCACAAGCTTGGGCCTGAAGCCTCACAGGCAAGGTTATAACATCAACGGTCCCTGGTAATGAATGTTTTCAAAATATGGCATTTAAAAAGAATTCAGGCCTGTGAAATTCCTAAGTTATCACTAAGAAGATCTTAGATTTCATTTTTAAATAAGATTTATCCTCCAAAAGGTTCAATGCTAAAGAAGTTATATCAGGTTGAAGTTACCAAATGATGTGGCTTTGATACCAGAGAACCTCAAAGCATGCATTGACAAGCTAAGATTGAGATTTCGATGCGAATAGACTAACCCTAATAACTTCTTCAGGAAGCGGTCGCTGATCTTTTGAGCGATCACAGAAATTCTTGTACTCCTCCGCGTCTCTGATTGCATATGAGCTTAGCTGATTATTAACAAAAATTAAACATATCAGAACCTCAAAGAATCCCGAGATGCATCTCTCACAGTCTATTCTCATGTCATGCCAGTGCATGAAGTAAAAGAGAGCTAGTGAACATTTACTTAACGAATACTCCCCGAAAGGGCCGGGAGGGGTGGTAAGTTTGCCTTTCAATGAAAAAAGATAAGTTTACATACAGATTACAATAACATTAACAACATGCTCTTGAAATGAAACCGCGAAACGGATTATACACCCACCTCAACATCACATTTCAACTCTTTCGGGCAAGGCTTCACCATATAAAATCTCTGCAACCAGGTAGCACTAACAATTACACAAAATAACAAAATTATGGGCAAGTAAGTTTGCCAAGAAATGACATTTGAAGGCAACAACATACTTGTCGAAACGGCTTCTGAGGAGTCCTCCAAAAAGCCTAACCAAAACCCCACAAATTCAAGCTTATAATTAACACAAAAAACCAAACTTTACAGCAAAAAAGTTGCTGGATTTGGCAAATAAATAAACTTACTTGTTCAAAGTACAAAACCTTAGAACCATCCACCATTTCAGCTGCTGGGCAAGTTACCATTCTGCAAGAAAATCCCGAAATCATGTAAAATTCAACTGCAAAATCCTTGAAACAAAAAACCCCAATTGAATTGCACAAGGAAGGAAGGAGGAATTGGGGCCCAATTGAGCTTTTTGGGGACCGACCTAATGTTGAAGTAGTGGTCAGGATCTCTGGCCGCTTGGTCTTTGGAGAACTTCTCGCCGGAAAGAGAACGGGTAACCAGGCGGGCGTGGTCCCACCGGGTGGTGGACTTGGTGAGTCGCTTCAGCAGCAGAACTCCGCCTATCAGCACCAGGGTCTTAACCACCAACCCGCGCGCCACGCCCCATCCTCCGGCGGAATCGGAGCTCCCACCGCCCGGCTCCGACCCGATTACCATTTCCTTGATTTTATTACAATCTCAATTCAGTACCTGCTACTAGTACCATTCCGATTGAACCCACGCAGCTACTAAATCCTGAATAAACCCACTTTTTTTATTATATAATTTTTAAACTTCTCTGTGTTGAAAATATAGATTGATCATATGGGTTGGGTTGGGTTGGATTGGTTTGGTTCATCAAGACCGTTTATCTGGATTTTGAGAGAGAAGGATCGGCCGTCGGCTTTGTTTCTCAAGAGCTGACCACCAACGATTGCCACGTTGCCGTCACCGTGCCGTCCTGTTTCTTCCATCTGCTTGCCGATGTGGTTTAGGGTCCGTACTGGCTTGGGCCATACCCATACAGCCCAATTCATCAACAACTATTGTCCAACATTTCATTAAATTTATACGGAGTGTGGCTAGACTAATTTGTCATACAAATAGACTTGCCAATAAATCGGATCTTGATACAAATTCCATCTACATTCGATTCGATCCGATTAAGATGGATTTGCTTAATTCGGTTGGAATTTTCTCCCCCACATTCCGACCCCATAAACTCCGCGAATAGAGTAGCCGAGTAGGGATGTCACTAGACCAACTAGTCAAAAGAACAAAATTTTACAGCTTAATTCTCATTGTATTACATAACTAAAAATATGTACAAGATACAATCCTTGTTCCATAAGGAAACAATAAACAATAAAGGACACAAACATATATCCTTCCTAATAAAGGACTCCTAATATTTACAATATATTTACATCCCATTTTTAATATTACACACGGCAATACTTCCCCTCAAGTTGGAGCATAGATATCACACGTGCCCAACTTGACAAGTGAGTCACCAAAAGACCTACTACACACATCATGAGTGAGGATATCCGCAAGTTGCTCTTCCGAGTTTACAAACGGTATTGACACAATCTTCTTCTTAAGCTTTTCCTTAATGAAATAACGATCAACCTCCACGTGCTTTGTTTTATCATGTTGTATCGGGTTCTCTGTAGTCTCACTGCGGACTTATTATCACAATACAAATTTGTGGTCTCCTTTAGTTTGAAACCTAGACCCTAGAGTAACTTACGTAACCAAAGAACTTCACATACTCCATGCGCCATACCTCTGAATTCAGCTTCAGCTGAAGACCTAGACACCACATTTTGTTTCTTAATCCTCCAAGTAACTAGATTTCCACCAACAAACGTAAAGTATTCAGAAGTAGAGCATCTATCAGTCACATCACTTGCCCAATCAGCATCAGTAAATCCCTCGATCTTCAGATGATCGAAATTTTTAAACAAAATCCTTTTCCTGAAGCTAACTTCAAATAAGCTAAAATCCGCATAACAGCTGCCATATGATCCACACTTGGTGAGTGGATGAATTGACTCACCACACTTACTGCATACGCTATATCCGGACGGGTATGAGCTAAATAAATTAGTCTTCCTACCAGTCTCTGATATCTGACTTTATCTACCAGTTCTTGATTCGGATAAATCCCCAGGTAATGTTTCTCCATAATGGGACTATCCACGGGTTTCCACCCAAGCATACCTGTTTCCTTCAATAAATCAAGAACATATTTTCGTTGAGACAAGAAAATACCTTTGGATGAACGAGTAACTTCAACTCCAAGAAAAAAACTTTAAGTCACCTAAACTCTTCATCTCAAACTCAGCAAAAAGGTTCTTCTCCAGTTTGACAATCTCATCTGAATCATCACTTGTTATTATCATATCATCCAAATAAATAATCAAGGCTGTTACCTTACCGTTTCTTCGCTTCACAAATAGACTCTGATAATACCCATTCTTTCTTATGGCCTGAGTGAATCTCCCAAACCATGCACGAGATGACTGCTTAGGCCCATAAAGTGACATCTGCAATCGGCACATTCCTGCTTTTCCTCCGTTACTATATCCCGGAGGAATATTCATATATACTTCTTCCTCTAGATGTACATGAAGAAACGCATTTTCAACATCAAATTGTTTCAATGGCCAATTCAAATTTGTAGCTAATGAGAAAAAGACTCGTACCGTATTCATCTTAGCCACCGAAGAGAAAGTTTCCTGATAATCAACCCTGTATGTTTAAGTGTATCTTTTCACCACCAACCTTGCTTTATACCTGTGAAGTGATTTGTCAACCTTGTATTTAACTGCAAAAACCCATTGGCACCTGACTGGTTTTTTTTCCTTTCGGCATCTTAATTACTTCCCATGTATTATTTTTCTGCAATGCTCTCATCTCTTCATCCATTACTTCGGTCCATTCTCGACTTTTCAAAGCATCTTCAACCCAAGTTGGTTCTTGAATTGAATCCACATTATTCACCCAAGCTTGACATTCGGATGAAAGGTTGTTACATGACACATAATTGGCTATTGGATACTTCAATTTTCCTTCCAGAGAAAACCAGTCAGGAGGTACACCACGATTTTGTCGTGGTGGCAACTTATACGTACTTATTACATCATTATTTACATGAACATCAATGGTACTTACCTCAGGGATATCCAGAGAAGACGTATTGGACGATGGCATGATTAAGCTAAAGAGAGATAGGGAACAAGCTCGGCAAGAGTTTCGGTAGTACTAAGCTCAGCAACAACCTAGTGTGGAGCTGTTTCTTTTTCAGCAGAAGCTGGCTGAACGCCAGCATAGTCTTCCTCAGTAAGGCCTGGCTAACACGTTGCACTTGGAGGGGATGAACGACGACTTTTGGCTAAAATACATACTTCACAGTTCAATTCTGAGTCTTCAATATCACTGAACAAATCAAGTAATATATGTTTCAAATAATTAAACAATGCATGCCCCAAACGACGATGCAATAATAATACCTTCTGTAGATTACTATTACTGACACACGAACCAAATTAACTCTTCCAAGAACCACATCATCCGCATAATATAGCCTTTCTCTCTTAGTGCCATACTCAATGATCTCCTTTGTCTGAATATCCTGAAGCAAGCAAAATGAAGGATACATCAATACAACACAATCCAATTGTTTAGTGACTTGGGGTATATGCAATAAGTGATGGGACAATGACGAAACCAATAAACAATTATGTAAGGGAAAAAAGGGTGTAAGAGACAATGTTCCTGCTCCAATAACAGTAGTAGTAGTACCATTGGCAATTGCCACACACTTTTTATGAGAATGGGTCGTAGATTGAAACAAAGTCTTATCATACGTCATATGATCTGCTTGCACCAGAATCCAAAATCCAACCTGTATTCGCCAGTTGTAATAACTCACGAAACAGTAATACAAGACAATCATAACACCACACCAATTACGGAACCACACGCTGCAAGGAATACAAGCAGCAGTAACAGTGTCATGCTGCTATTCAGGTTGTTGGATTGACACAAAAAACAGTGGACTGCAGACTTTTTGCACGGATTGTAGCAACTAAGTATGCACGACAACAGCAATCCAAGTAGTGACGAAAAGCTAACACGTAAGAAAAATATCCAATTTGTTTGGGAATTCTCAAGGCAATACAATTGTTTTGCTTGGCATTTGAGCACTCACTTTTTACCTAATAACATACTTTGCATTAGGCAGCAACTGCAATCCACTAGGGTTATCGATGCCATAATCAATCAAGGAACAACCTATTTTTCAACACTTACAATTCAGATTGGAGAGATTATTCAAATTTTATGTGGAATGAACCTCAACAATTTCAACAAGATGGATATTGGCAACAATCTGAGGAGTTTTGTTCAAGACCTATGCAGCCACCACAACCTCCCCCACAACAATTCCAATCGAATTCAAGTATGTCCATGGATAATGATAAAATTCTTGATGTACTAACTTCTTTGATGTAGGGCTTACAAAACCAAGCAAAGAAATAATGAGATCATACAACGACTTTAGAAACAAAAACATCACAGATTAATAACTCTCCAAACAAAGTATAGGCTTAAGTCTCTTAGGGTTGTAGCGTTAGTTTGAGTTTCTTCCTTCAAGCAATTATACACAGAGATTACCCAAAAAAAAAAAAACAAAAAAAAAAAATCCACTGCACAACAGCCACTGCTCAACATACGACACAGATAAAATTCACCCACCGCAACATGGTAATAGTGATGGACTTGATTACAATCGCAGCAACACATAGTTTTTGTTTAGGATTTTTGATCAAAACCTAGCTCTGATACGAAATAGAATTTTACGGCTTAATTCTCATTGTATTACATAATTGAAAATATATGCAAGATACAATCATTGTTCCACAAGGAAACAATAAACCAAACAAATATCCTTCCTAATAAAGGACTCCTAATATTTGCAATATATTTACATCCCCTTTTTAATATTACTCACGGCAATAAAAAGTACATATTTTGGGACATGAAATTGGACAATGCTTCATAAGGCATAGATAAAGTGGCTTGGGGACTTCAACTTGCTCATATGATGAAGAACGATTTATGAACCCAAAATGCATGAGTGGAAACCCGATATCATGTTCACTAAAATATTAAATCACATGCAAACTTATGTTATGTTATTAGATAGTTGTTCCAGCAACTCAAAAGCTATCCAGGTTTCGAATGCTCCTCTCATCTCTTATCAGCCTGCCATGAGAATAATCACTTGTCACAGATTCAAGTAGAAGTGGAGGAGACCTCCTACTTTGTGCTGAATCAGTCTTTTCCTCCCCAAAACAATGAGCAGGAGCATCCCACTTGGCATCCTCAAGCACAGCTCCCACCTCGAATGTCATCACGTGAGCATTATATCCTGCATTATTGCACTAATTCATCAATCATTTATAAACAAATATATGTATATATATTGTGTTCTCAAACTATCAATTTGAGGGGAAAAATCTTTCGCCAGGTCGTTTGATCATATGGATGGTCTGACCAATCACACAAAACAAAAGAGATTTTATATTTTGATCTCATTCGACTCCACGCTAATTATACGCTTGTAAGAGAGCTACCTTACCCAAAAATCCTTCCAACTTGACACTTCTAAACATTAAAACATTCACTACTAATATGCTTAAGTGTCTCATTTAATAGGAACACAATCTGCTAGATTACGATTCATTTATACCTTAATGGATAAGGATGAACGCATCAATGAAATAGTTATGCTACACGAATTCTTAGATAATAAGAATATAATCTACTGAATTATGATTAGTATATACCCTAGTAGAGAAGGGTTATCCTATTAAACTAATGGCTATGGTGAATTCTCATTAAATATTAACGTATACTTAGTAAAAAAACGGTGAACTCATCAATCGAACTCTTAACTGCTACGAAAGTGTTTCATCGAAGGCAAATTTTCATAAATTAGCAACAGAAACTTTGATACCTGTGTAGAAAACCCAATGGACAGGTCTTTTAGTGAGAACATCCTCATAGTACCAAATAAAATCAACCTTCTCCCACACATTGCACAGAAACCCGTCCACGCGTCGCTGACCCAGATAATTAGCGCCGTCGAGCCAATCAGGCCGGAGAATGCCAACTGGAAAATGCATGGTGTTGCATTCTCTGTCGGAGTCCAAGGTGTAGATGTACGAGGTACCATTGTCCCATTCGAGGTCGTAGGTGAGCTTCCCCAGCTGGCTTTGGATTATGTTGAAGTTGCGGCCGTTGGGCCAGTCGTACCAGAGATCCACCACCTGCAGGGCTCCCTTGCTGTTGTTCATGAAGAGGACAGAGTGGAACTGGTGGGGCCACGCCGCCGGTGCCGGGTCGTCGGAGGCGGACTCTACCGCCGTCATCATCGTCGTCAGTGGCAGATTGAGTGGCGTCAGAAGGAGGAGGAGGAGAAAAGGCAAGGACATGGACACGGACATGGTCGGACTTGTAGAGGTCATTGAGAGGATATGGTTGCACCTGCAGAAAGTTGTCCCCACTATATACGATAGAACCGAAACTTATCAATGTTCTCGTACCAAGACAATTAGATTACGGATTTCCGTTTCCACCCACAAACTTTTCATGTATTTATAGTTATACCTATTTGTCAATTTGTCACCTCAACTTGTATAGAGCAGTCAATTTCCTTCTCAACTTTAAATTTAACCGATTACCCATATAAACTTTTATAAATAGCCAATTCCTCTTATGACTTTAGACTTTGAAAATTTTCATCCAAATTTTCATCTATGTTTTTGTTTCTTCTTTACGTGTTAATATTCACCAATCGCATCTGAGTGCATATTTTGAAATGCTGGCGGTTCATTACTTGACTATTTTCTTTCGTAAAAGAACCCCTTAGGCTTCACTCGGCTGTCGCGAGCTCCGCATAACCGGCGTCGTCTGACCAGCGTCAGATTAGCAAGAGGACACCCCCGCCCCTCACACCCTCACATCATCAATTCGATGAAGAAAAGAGTTCGGCCCAACTTTCAATTTGTCCAGTTCAAGGTAAAATTCAATGGTTTTAGCAGTAGAAATTTCAAAGTTTGCATCTTTTTCTCTCACCCTCCCTCCGAAATATCTAATGTTGCATCTTTTTTTTTTTTTTTTTTTGAATTTTCAGATCCATTAAACTGGTATGCAAATTGCAACCCTTTTGTACTATAATTTAAAAATTGCATATCTTTTGTTTCCCACATATATAATTTGTTCAAAATTTGCTTCATTTTTTCCACCTTATGTAAAATAGTGTCATCGTTATTCTAAATATGCGTTTATTTTTTCTTCTGTAATTAAAATTATGATAACTGAAAGGAGTCGTGACATTAAGGCATAAAATTCATCTAAGCTTTAATGTTTTGTTCTTAATTTGTTCCTCTTTTGTTTTCGGGGTCAAACCATGTATTAGAAGGCGTATCTGTTCAACTTGGAAGCCCGACGTCGGACAGAAACAAGGAAAAAGAACTTGGGAAATAATGGGAGAAATAGGGTTACTCATTACAACTTGGTGGACCGAATCAATTGGTTGCCAGATGAAGTTGTTGTTAGTATATTGTCTCGCTTGCCACTAAGGCCTGGTTTGGTACTGAGATGATTTTGAAAAAAACTGATATCCAAAAAAGTTGGGAGCTGTTTTTGTGTTTGGTAAACACTCAGCTTCAGCTTTTTTTCACAGTTTTGGGTGAAAAAAAGCAAAAAACAAGAAGCTGCAAAACCTAGCTTTGAAAAACCGGCTTTTTTTCACATCTGTTTTACATAAAAGTTTACCAAATATTATAATACTGTTTTTTTTTTCAAAAGCACTTTTACAAAAAAGTTTACCAAACATTTTGCTGCTTTATTTCACAGCTGCTTATTCTCACAACACAGCAGAAGCAGCTTTTTTTCAAAGCACAATAATACCAAACCAGCCATAAAGGAAGCAGCAGCTACTAGTATCCTTTCTAGGCAATGGCGGTATGTGTGGGTGTCAACTATGACTCTCGTCTTTGATTCTGAATTTGATATTTACCCCTTTCACCGCTTCTATGAAATTAAACCAGAACTAAGAGACCAGGAAACACGTAGATACGTTGATAGGAGCAAATTATTATGAGGATCTTGATCGCTTATCTTCCTTCATGAAGGCGTGTCCTTGCTTGAAGAGACTTGTGTTGAAGGTATGTATTCACACCTAGTATGGATAGAATGGTAAAACTTTGTATTTTATGTGCATTTTCATCCTTTTTTTTTTTCCATCTCCCGTGCACTGCATCACCATTTTGATTACGAGGAAAGCATAGAGAAAGTTAGGTTTTTCCCTATGATTGATAAAAAGGAAAATGCTAGACACCAACGTAAAAAGTACATTTTTTAAAAGTTCAAAAGAATTGTGGATCTTTTGCTAGACTGGATGCATTTGTTAGTTATTCGTAGTCCGGCATGTACATAAAGTGAATTTTCAACCACCATCTTACGTGGGTATGTTGCATTTGCATTGAATAAACAAGTTCCATAGTGGACTCAAACATAACAAAATAAACTTTGCTGCATCAGTTGGTGTTCAAAAGTTGTTGTGCCTTATGCAATCATATGTAAGGAAGTTGTGAATGTGAATTTCACTTCCACGTCGTATGGTATATTTTGATGTGAAAGTATTGTAGTTGTGTATAATGGTGATTTGATTGGGAGGAGGTTTATAATGCTGGTATGATTGGGAGGAGGTGTATAACGGTTGCGGTGGCAAGTGATGGGTTGGGGTGCCGAGGAGCTAAGGTTTTTCTCAAGAGAGAGAGAGGTGCGAAACATGAGAAGGGTATATGACCTCAATAACTAACTAGGGTAATACGGGAATTGAAAGAATACATGAAGTAACTTTTTTACTAAGCTTTAAACTGAAGCAACTTTCCTTGTTGTCATTGGTGTGCACTTTGTTGTTGTTTTCCTTGGTGCAGGTAAACAGGCCAACATGTGGGGAGAGGAAAGAAATAGCGAAAGTTGGTAAATGCCCCCATGATTACCTCAAGGTAGTTGAGATAGTGGGGTACCGTGCTCATGCATGTGTCATTCAACATGTCATGTTCCTAATGGAGAGTATTGTTGAATTGGAAGAAATTGTTATTGATCCTGTCCGGCATTGGTGTTGGCCTAGGGGAACGGATGGGGGAAGGGAAGAACCCGATCTGGAAGCGAAAGCAAGAGAGCATGCTATGCAACACCTTAAACAAAGAGTGCCATCGACTGTTGAATTTGTATGCCTATAGTAAGTGTTGTGCTTAAATTATTAAGAGATTGAGAGTAGAAAAATTCATTTGAGACAAAGTTTGCGTTATTCAGTTAGCTACATTTTATGATTTCTAAGTTAGGTAATTTTCAAAAGGGGCGATGTATTGAAATAAAGTGAACTACAATAAAGAAATAAAGTGAATTAACTTTTAAATTGTCCCAAATTTAAGGGAAATTTGGAAACATAACAATTTTAGATACCATGTATTGAAATATGACCTCCTGTTTTTAACTCTTATAAAACTAACCAAAATTGATGTTCAAAAGACTAAATTGCCCTAGAACTAAATCATTCTCTTCAGCAGCGTTTGATTACCTCTCGGAGTCATGTGACTGAATAATCAACAACATATCAGAGTCGTTGCTACACGATTCCCTTCTTGAATGTCGTCGTCGGGCTGCTCGGATTCTTCTTCGTCAAGTCATGGACTGGATTCTTGGGAAAACTAATGGCGCGTTTACTAATCCGTAATCAAATTGAGAGGAATTGGATTGAGGAGGAATTGATGAGATGGAATTGAAATGAGGTGGAATCAGAATCAAATTCCTGTTGAAGTTGTTTACCAAAACTGTCTGGAATCGGAGTAGGAATGATGTTGAGTCCATATAAGTTGTTTACTAATTCACTTCAATCGGAATGAAAACTAGGTTGATTACTATATTACCCTTACATAAATAAATTATTTTTATACTAATTAATTAAATTAAATTTATATAATAAAATTCATCTATATAAGCATATATAAATAGGTTTTATTTATTTATTAAAAGATGGCAAGAATGATGTTGAGTTCATATAAGTTGTTTACTAATTCACTTCAATCGGAATGAAAACTAAGTTGATGACTAAATTACCCTTACATAAATAAATTATTTTCATACTAATTAATTAAATTAAATTATTAATTAAATTTATCTAATAAATTTATCTATATAAAAATAGATAAATAGGTTTTATTTATTTATTAGAAATGACATAATGAGTATCAAATGAAGGGTAATGTTGGGATAATAAGAAACAAATGAGGGCAGAATAGGAATAAAAGATGCATTTCCAATTCCCTTACCCTCAGGGAATTCAAATACCTCACAAAACTAGGGAATCCCGTTCCTCCAATTTTAGGAATTGGATTCCTTGTTTTGTGTGAGCTCCACCACTTTTTTGATTCCTTAATATTTAGTAAACCCCGGAATACTCCGTAATCGAAATTCAATTCTCTTTCCTTATTCCGATTACCCTTACGTAAACGTGCCATAAGTGTTGTATTGTCGATAAAACACCGCTATCTAAACTAGACGCTCATTGCGCTAGTACATTTTCTCAGCTACAATGATATTGACATTATGGTATCGACAGTCCATTCTTTCTCGTTACAAATCTTCTGGGACGGAAAGCAAAACATCCACTTACAACAACACCAGTTGATCAAGTTGCTGTGTTTAAGCTGGTTTTGTTTGAAACTGCTCAAAGGCTACAACTTAAATCCATCACAAGAACAAAGAACCAAAAGATTAATCTCTCATCCTCTGTCTCATAAAAACCGCACCGTTTGATTACATGACTTATTTTCTTTCATTCAGGAAAGCATGCCAAAGTGTATGAACTATATAATATATTACATTCGAAAATAAAAACCGAGGGAGAGAAGACGTCCAACAATACCTCTTGGTTTTATTGAGGCCAATCGGTGTTTAACTTGAGGCATTGAAAGTTCTAATCGACATTTTTCCTCGCTAACACATTACCAATCAACATACCATTCGAAATTTAACTTGAAAAGGTAATGGCAGAGCTACTGGTTCCCCGTTATAGGGCCGCCCTGGCTTTTCTTTATATCATCCCACCCTCTAACCCATGGCTGGCCAGGTGTTGCTCGTGTCTCGGGAGCAGCATAGCTGTTCAGGTTGTTGGTGATCTTGTTACGCACTGCAGTAAAAACCTACAAAAACATATCATTTGAATGAATGAAAGTGGAGACCATGAAGAATCAAGCAACATATGGAATTTGAACTTTCAGATCATTTCTCACAGGATTAGTTTGGAGTGCCTCGGGGGGTTGCTCCTGGCCAATTAACCACTTCCACAGATCTGGGTTTTCCTGTATGAGGAAAAATGATATCAGAATGTGTTACCGAAAAAAAAAAAAATGATATCAGAATCTCTCCCTTGTCATTCAAATTTGCAATTTGCATAGTATCAATACTAGAAAAACCATACATCTTGCCTCCGGCTATGCATACATCTTGCCTCCGGCTATCTTACATCAAATACATGAATAGGGAACCGACCATGCTCTGGGTGCTAAGATTTGCAAGGTTAACAGGAAACACAGTATTTACTTACACACTCTAAATCTTTGTTATTTCAGCTGTTGATGGCAATCAGGGATTTAAAACATCTTTATGTTTCTTACGAAACCATTTGATTTTAATTGCTTGAAAACTCCTGATGGTTTACAGTTCAACCAAAAATGCAAAGTCATTACGCTTTTCTCTTAAGTGGAATAACTATTATTGTTAATATGTCAGTGAATAAAAAAGCTTATAATTTATTAACTGAAGAAGCTAGGACCAAAACAAATTGTGTCCAGGTCACCCTGCTCTCCAAAGCACGGGAACCTATGAGCTATATGTCAGTTAACTGCTCAGATGAATCACAAATATGACAATTAAAATGAACAAAAGACGTTAAATCAAGCACCAACTTATGCTGCGAGTCACCGTGAACAAACACATCTAAGCTTATGATGCATATCCAATACTTTCATTTTTGGTTGAGGGGCGGGCCGAGGGCTAAACAAAAAGAAGGAAACTTGTAAAATTCAACATATTCAGTTAGTCTAGGATGACATATAAACTGGAAACTTGTTACTGAAGTTCCAAAGAACAAATTTCGAATGCGGCCTAGTCCTCCTCTACTAATCACGCTATAAACTAAGCAGCATTCAAAAGCCAAGTAAAAGCACAAAAATTTAAAAGGGTATGACTTATGAGATGATCACAGTAGTGAAAATAAATTTACCAGGTCGAGGACATCCACAAGAGATTTAATTCCCTGTTCATCCATGTAATGGATATGCTCCTCCACCCACTTACCCAGAACCAAATCCAACTCCAAAAACCCTCTCTGCTTGCTCCTGTATATCAATCTGTTCCACAACCCAAACCAATTCTTGTCTCAGAAACAACAAAGCAATTATTACGCGCCTGTTTGATAACCATTTCATTTTTACTTTCTAGTTGTCATTTTTTTTGGGTTATTGACAGAGGGGAAATACACTTATCGATGAGGCACTAAAAGGCTTCTGGTAACAAGTGTTTTTTTTTTATTTTTTATTATAAACAAGTTGAACATTTATTAAAAGTTCAAGTGTTCCTTGAGCATTTGGAAGTGCTTCCTGAAGAAGCATATGGCAGGTGCTTTTCCAGAAAGGCTTCTATGAGCCAAAAGCAATTCTAAGTTTTTTCTGCCAAACAAGTTGGAAGCACTTTTGACTATCAGAAAAAAGCTTTTCTCTCCTCCACAAGCAATCTCAAACAGAAAAATGGAGGAAGAAGAAGATGGAGTTAAAGACCTGTTAAATAAGCGCCTCTTGCTCTCTTGGGTGGAGAGGTCGATGTCCAAATTGCTGCCATTGTTGGTGGAATGAGAACGCTGAACCAAACCGTATCCGAATTGAGGCCTGGAAAATGAAATCACGCCCCTAACAAAATCAGAGAAAATTCAGACTACATAAAGCCACAGCCTTTACGAAATGTTAATACAAATGGGGTAGAAAATCGATGAAAGAACGGAATACCTGAGATGGGTTTCGGCGGGGGAGATGGAAGCGGTGGATTTGAGGGCTCGGTGGAGGCTGATCAAGCTTCTTCTCAAGCTTCCCATGTTTTATTTTCTTCTTTTTCGTTTGGTGTTCTCAGGTGTTTCACAACGGAAGAGAGAGAGAGAAAGAGAGAGAAATAATACAATTTGTGGGCTTAAATTAGACCAACAATGAAAAGGGCCTGCCTGCTCAAATGACACACCGGCCCATTCGTACATACGGTTGTGCCACGCGAAAGGGCAACGAACTCAAAACTCTTTTTCTTTTTTTTTTTTTTTTTTTTTTTTTTTTTAGCACATTGATGTTTTTACATTAAGGGAAGAAAGAAAAAGTTCGGTAAAGTCACATAATGAACAGGATAATTTGGTATCAAATTTGACATCCATGAGATCCGAACCTAAACCTCTCACTTTCAAGTGAAAATAAATATCATCAGATCGTAATACTGAGTGACAACTCTTTTTAACAAAGATAAGTTTGGCTGTTTGTTTTTCAATCGAGTTTCGTACTAAATTATTATAACCAATTATTATAAAGTTTGACTAAAATTTTTATCTTTAGATTAGACGCATGTTTTGAAACATTTTTTAAAATGATTAAACTCTTATACATTATTGAAAGGAGCTCTGTCGGTTTTTTTTTTTTAAATTAGACTAAAAATGTTTACAACAAAAGTAGTCCAAACTAGTCCTTATTGTTCTAACTGAAGTGAGCCATTTTATTGTAATTCAATATTTGTTGAGGTAAAACGAAAGGATTTTATTGAAAGATTTAAACATTCATGCAATCATCAAGCAAAGCATCACGGATTAAATTTGGAGGCTTCTCGAACCAACAAGAATCAAATGGCATGTTTATTTTCATCATATGGAAACAAGAATTCTATTTTATTTTTTATTTTTTTTTAGAACAAATGAACATTATTGTTCTAAACCAAATATGTAGTTTTTTATTTTTTATTTTTTGTGGTATACGATAACACAACCATACATCGTAATGGCATGTTTATTTTCGTCATATGGCATCATATATTTTTAGTTTAAGACGTACTTAGGAAAGTTAGAAATTGGAGAAATGAATGAGAATGAGATTTAATTCTATGTAGAAATAAAATAGTAAGATTGATAAATTAGCGCTAAACACAAAGTAGAAATAAAATAGTAAGATAGATAAATTTTATTGCCCATTAGGTCGACTTTACATAAGTTAACTCTATGTAACAATTTTGATAACAAAACATTTTATTAAAAAATATTGAAAATTCAAAAGGTTATTTGAACCACATCTAATGCACCACATGTTTATAAAAGATCTCGTTTGGAAGTACTTTTA